AAAAAAATTCAGAAGTTACATACAAATAATTTGACAGACCGTAGACATGAATATTTGTTTCTTGCATCATGTGACTTTGACAGAAGTGACACTTAGATATATTTTTTGGAATTTCGTCGAGAAAAATGTAAAATTATAGAAAATGAAGTAAAAAGATTGCTGCGACCACTTATCTGAAATGTGCAAAACCGATAAAACACACTCGGTTCAGGTAAACTTTGATAACATACGATAAGCTGTCACTCAATAGAATCGTATTATATAGAGTGACAAGAAAACAATATATTTTCGTTAGATTTTATATGTGTATTCCAATTATATCCAACTATTTTTACGTATAGTATTAGTGAGAGCCGTAGATTTTTTATTGATATATATTACAACTAACAAATGATCAAATTAAGTGCGGAAACTGTTGTCGAACTGCTGTTCGGAAAATGTTTATAAATTAAAAATGTTTCCTTTTATATCATACAGTTTAATTTTAAGTTAAATATAATTTTTAAGTTCTTTAAGTCAGTCTGTTAAGGAAATTAAATGACAGATGACGCATCACAAAACTGTTTCTGTTTTTTTTTATTTTTTCTATTGTTCTGTAACTGTTCCATATTTTTGATATAAAAGAAATATATAAATTACGACTATTTTAACTTATATATATACTTAATACAATTTTCCTTGTTTCATTCTTTGTCTGCCAATTAAGACTTTTTCATTTATGTAAGAAAACAGAATATATATAGCTACATTTGAAAACTAATGCTTTATAGCTTATAGTAAGTACAGGATTTGAAAACATATATCTATGAATCACCTACAGCAAAACTGTTGCATCACCAAAATTTAATACGTGATAAGCTAATCGTATTTTATCAATGATAATATATCGGACGGACTTCAAGATGTCACATAGTTCTAGAAATTTCCAATATGGCGTTATCACAAACAATTTTAAAGCACTCGTTCTGTGTTTGCATTACTTTTGTTATATTGTACATAATTCTTATGACGCCATCGTTAAATAGTTACAGGTTTGTAAATTATAATGAACTTTTTAATATATTAGATATCTGTGGTCATTTTGTATAAATTTTTTTTATTAATCTATTTTAATGTCAAAAAGAAACAAAACTACCCGCTACTTGCTTTTGCATATACCATTTTCTAGTTCAACAGTTGTGAGACCACATTTTTTCTATTTTAAAAGTATTAAAAGTACATTTAATTTTCAAAATGGTGTGGCATATTAAAAACGAGGAAACTCAAATTCTATCCATGTGAGTGACAAACTATATAAATATGTCAAGTATAAAAAGAAGTAGCAGGAACATTCTAGTATATTTTCGAAAATCAGAATAGATAAAATATTATTGCAGCGTTACTCATTGTATGAGCTATATTAATATTGTACATATCTCAAAGTATGCGGGTGCAATCAGTCAATTAATATTACGTTTCATTAAATATAAGCCCAGACATCCGTTAATGTCATTTTAATAGAAAATATCTTTCATATTCTGTGCTATTTATTCACAGATTATATGTATATGAATTTGGTAAGTTAGGTATAGTAGGAAATAATATGTAGTTGGTAAATTTCATGTCAAAATTCCCAAACGTTAGGTAAAAATTATTATTAAGTCACTGATTCCCAGTATTACCGCTTCATTTAATTTGTTGTTGAATCATCGTTCTTGTTTTAACAGAATGAAGTAATTACCTTATAATTATTATAGTTTTTCAGTTAATATTTAACTCAGTTTCGTGTCCTGTCTAATGATTGTTCTAGTTTTTCAATACGAAATAATAATAAGAATATTTTAAAAGACAAATTCTAAACGTTCAATGCTTCAAGGTCTGGTAGTCGACTGAGAAAAACGTAACGGCGTAAAAAACTTTCCGTGATCAATCTTACAATAAGAATTCGTTGTCATTTGACTGGAACGAGAAATGCTGAAATTATAGTTTATATTGAATTCTTGTCTAAAATAAATCTCAATATACTCTCAAACAAAAAACAATCAAAAATTCGGTTATACTACTAAATATTATTATTATTATTCTTATTTAGATTTTATTTAATTAAAATATAAAGATATATATAATTGATTGCTTATTAAATCTTTTCTATAGTTTCTTTTTAATCTACATTATAGTTATTTGACAGTTCCAAACATTTCTAATATGTTATACCAATGTAATTACTTTGAAAGTTTTGTTCAGTTCCAAGTGATGCATCAATCAGCAATCTGGCAACTAAATTGAAGTTCAGATACACAATTTACAATATCAATGAAACAGTATTGAACCGAGCCAAATTATATTAACATACGTTTGCCAAATAAACTATTTTACCGCCTTTTATAATGTCAAACAAGTATTTGTTTCAATCATACGTATTATTAAAAAATCTATTATCATAATTATTTGAAATTTATAAAAGATTACAAGTAGGATGAAAAATGTATAATATTTATTTTATAATTTTAAAGTATTAAAAAAAATCGATACCTAAATTCAACTCTGGGATGTATTCCTAAACAAATTATTCAAGCGTTTGCCTTATAATTGAAGTGTTCCGTTTAAAAATAATCGATAAAATTTTATATAACAAAAATGGAATTGAAAAAAAAATTGTTTTTATAAAACTGTTTTATTACTGTTTCTAAAAGTTGACCGTTTTGAGGACTTCTAATTTTTTATTTCCTGTGGTCAAATTCTTTTAATACAATGGACATTTCCATCAAATAAAAAAATAAATAAAGTCAAAGCTGTAGGTTGATGTAAATGTTATTTTTTTAAATATTGCAAGTGTATCCGACCTCCTTATTTGATATTAATTGCAGTTTCACAACTTCACATTCCTCTTACACCATTCATCTTGAGAAATGTGGTAAAAATGTACAGACGTAAATAAAAATTATCCTGTATATTAAAATTCGTAAAATAAATATATAAGAAAAATAAATATTAAATTTATTTCAAATTCTGAACTATCCCTAGAATAATTTAGAGTTGTTCTTAGGAAGCGAGATTCTAACTTCGCTAAAAAAAAACGACTGAAATCTAGAAGACATTTTACCGAAATAAAACATTTAAATGTCATTCGTCAAACACAACTCATAAACAATGACATTTTGTGACATTTTGCAAAAAAATAATGTCAAACGTAAACATTTTATATAATGTACAGACTGAAAAAAAACATGAAATTTCTGAAAGTTTCAGTTGTTTTTCAAAGCTTCATACGAAAACTGAAAAGTGAAAGAGAATTCATTGGTTACGTAACTGTAGCGTCCGTACCAGCTGTGACGTAAAACGAATTCGGCAATGACATTGGCCGGAAAAGTCAGGGCAAGGTCGCACGCTATTCGACTGTAGGGGAAATCGTTTGTATGCTACGAATATAATAAATAAAAATACCTGAAAGCCTATAAATTTCCCGACTTATAACGTGATATATAATTTATATGTATAGGAACGCATTTTAAACTTCATAAACACGAACACTTATGAGCGCGGGTGTGTTGTTTTATTTTTATTTACATTCCAACGTGAATGTAATCCGATCCAGCTTTTATTAAACGGAAGGAACATGTCTGAGTGTGCATTCAATTGTTTAATTGTTTCTGCAATTCCTATGAGAATCTGAGTCATGCGAGTTTTATTAATGTTGATAGAACTACATTTATCGGATCGGATTCTTTATTTACAACGCGAATTCTTTCACGTATATTGTCTTCATATAAAGGGACAGTCATTCATTTTACACATCCCGTCTCCCTATTTTATTTACGCATAAAAATATAAAAAAAAAAAACAATTTAAGAATATCCACCATTACCTCAAGGCCAGTATTCGGTGTCACTGCCAAGGCCTTCCAGAAGCTTCCCGTTTTTTGTAACTGCCATTTATATTTGACGGACGTGATTTATGACGCTACGAATAAATATACTATTTAGTTTTAGTTACCGTTAATTATTTAAATTTAGAATACAGAATTATGTAAGTTTAAATTTCAACTCTTTATACATAGGCCGCAGTCAGCTACGGATTGTGATCAATAGTGCGCTTTGGGATGAGAGTTACCTAACATGTGGAGTGCAGACTATCGTCATTAAAAATATTATTACTGGATGTTTTATATTTAGCGATACCTCTTCAAATCTCCTCTCTTCAGATAAAGTATCAATGCAATCTAAAACTTATTTTTCTTCATCAATATAATAATCACATTAAAAAATCAGTCCCCATTTTATCATAATACTATTATTTATATATGCAAAATATTTAAAAGTACTTCAAAAAAATATTCTTTCGAAATATTTACGAAGGAAAAAGATTGAAAATGTAATCTGAAATTGTTGCTAAGATCGATAGCTTTCCTGCAAGGTCGTTCCATTTATCGAACAGCTGTTGTAGGGTATTATTATGGTTTCACTACAATTACTAAAGCCACACAATAACACACAATAAAAGACGATAAAAGTGCTTCTAATACGCAAGCTTTTAATTTAGGTTGTCAAAAAAGTATTTATCAAAAGTCAAAACTTTTACAATATGTGACATATATTTATTATCTGTCTTGTTATAAAAATCACTAGGGTTGAAAAAGTACTGAATCCCGGACTGCCCGGGATTAATAATATAGATACAATTCATAAGTTGTAACTGTCACAGAAAGTGAAAACAATTAAAAACTGTCAATGACAATCCCAGTATTGAAAAAGATGTGTCGTAATAATATTGGATCACGTCCAGTTTAGAAAAAGAGTTGGCAACATCCTCATTTTGTCCAACTTTGTATGTTAAATTGATGATCAAATTATGAGGTTACGTTTAGGTTTCTTGCTACCTATTTCTTCACAACAATAACATTTGATAGTAATATTGTTTTCCAAAATAAATTGTTTATTATAACATATCTGCCCATTTGGAATCGGGATAAGTAAGGTGAAATGTAACAGCATAATGGAACCATACTCATGGAGTACTTCAATTCAGAAAAATATAGGTTGAATGTAAATTTGTGAAACGTTTAGCGTTAGGTCTGCGGTGGCAATAGCTAGACGTAGAGCATCCCAGCAAGGCCAAGGTTGAAGCGTTAGGGCTGCGGTGCGGGCGCGGGGCGGATTGAGCTTAATGTTCCGCGCGCTCCCGCACCAACCATTCTGCACCTCGCAGTCGACTCTAACGGTTGTTCTTGTGTAAGGTAAGCGGTGGTCACCTAAGATTATTTCTGCCACCCCGACCAGCCTATCGGATTACATCCATCATACGGCACGACTTCAATGACTTAGATAATATAATATCTTTTATCTAGCGACCGTTTGAAACGTTTCAAGATGTGCAACGATAACTTTGAGTGTGCATTATCCGACAATACAATAGATTACGCTGTAACTTTCGCTCAACATTCAAATATTACCCGCCAAGGTAAGCGGTGGCGCTGGCCGGGGGTAAATTTCCCTCCGAAAAGTTTTGAAACGATACCCGAAGGGCGGGAAGCGTGAGCCGCGTGCGTGCGTGCCGGGAATCGATCGGGCCACCCCTCGCTCTCGCCGCTCCCTGCACAGGCATATCCATTTGGTCAAAACATTCTATCATTGCATTTAGCATTCTCCGTTCATTTTATTTAGTTTCCATAGTTTTTTTGTGAAATAGTGCATGTTTTAGCGGTTAGTTGTTATATCATATTCGTGAAAATGGGTGGATGTGCGACTAAAGAGAATAAAGAAAATAAACCGGCTGATGACGCCGACGGGTGCGTATATTGAGATGAAATTTGTCTCTTAAAAATCTCTTATCCTTTTTCTTATTGAAATTACTTATATTGGCTGTAAAACAAATTGTAATTATAATAAGTGAATATGTGAATTATCTTAATAATAATAAAATATATCGTCAGTAATTAAAATCTGCATAGTACAAAGTGATACCTCTCATCATTACTACGCAATTTAAAGTATAAATGGACATGTTGTTACTGAAAATTGTCTATTTCCAGTTGCGGTCATTCATTTAATTATTTCATAACAATTTTATATTATTGTTTTTACAGTAATTATTGATTAAAAATTATAAATATAAATTTTAAAGAAGTAGTATTATCAGATTTATAGATATTTGGATATAAAAATAATGGATCAATTTTAAAAGAGCATATTTGAATGAATGTTGCATCATCTTTCAATAATTCAAGCTATAAGTCGTACATCGGTAATTTGACGAGTGTTTGTTATTTATTGAGTTATTGTGCAGAATGAATGCATTTTGTAATGAGAAACTCGCGATAACACGATCGTAAGCGGTGTTCGAGTGGGAGGTTACCGGCTGCGCGCCGCTAAGGAGCACCGGTGCGCAGTGAGCTGACAATCCTACAAGACTTGCGCGCTACCAAGGCGACCTCTAGCAAATTACGTAATTCAACTAAATTCTTGGGACTATTGGGTGTGTTCGAACAACAATTCCAAATCCGACGTTCCCCCGACACTTAGTTGCTAGAACCTCTCATTTCCCCGTTTAGAACTTTTCATCGTCATGAATTATAAACTAAAAGTCACGATTCCTGTTGTTGTATGCGGTGGTGCCGTTCTTGCATATTACCTCATCAGACGGTTCGTATTTTTCCCATGTAAATAATATAAATTTTAAAATTTGAAACAACAACATTAATCATGAAATTATTTTAATAATACTAATATTATTAATTCGTTCATCGCAACCAAATCCCGTAATTTCAAAACGCATAGATACATCCCTATTATTTTTAGACGTTGCTTGTTGCAATAATTTTTTAATATTTCAGAATTGACCACATAGATTATTTTTGAACGTCGTCATAGTTTGAAATCCGTTTTTAGAATTTGATAGCTTGCTGCTAGTTGATAGTTTTCAATTATAAATCATATATAATTATCGGAAAATGTGTACAAGAGCGACATGTGCTGCGTTGAAGACGTTAGGATATTTATTATTTTTATTTAATAGTAAAATGAAAGTGAAAGGAAGATAAAATTTTGATATATTAAATGATATTACAGAAAAGCCGCAGCAATGGTGGACGCCGCAACCATCGAGAAATTGGAGGCTGGCTTCAGCAAGCTCCAGGCCTCTGACTCGAAGTCACTGCTGAAGAAATACCTTACTAAGGAGGTGTTCGAGGCTCTTAAGAACAAGAAGACCTCATTCGGTTCAACTCTCTTGGATTGCATCCAGTCTGGTAAGTTTTATTCGCTTTAATTCAAACAAATGTCGAAAATAATACAAATCGCATTTCGTGAAGTATTTCTAATAAGAGTGTTTTATATTTCTACTTATTTCGATTTGTTCTACAAAGACTACATGACGCTTTAAGATTATATAACAGAAGTAATAAAAAACTAGATATTAAATGATTATTTCCAATAAATAAGTATCTATTGTTCTATCATTATTTAATACATACATTAGTGTCTAAAACAAAGATTCATCTTGTTTTTTTATTTGAACAGAGTATTATTATATTGTAAATTGTGTAAATTATTTATATTTAGTTTAAAAATAATTAGAGAATCATATGTGACTAAATTATTAAAATAAAATCACTAAATTATATAAGCATAGGAATTTCCTTACTTTATCATAAAGTAATGATTATCAATTGACTATCTATTGATGGATTAGAGCTCTGATATCACTATCATACAGTGTGATAGGATTTATGACTAATCTAACTGTTATGTAATATTTTCCACATTAAAAAAATCAATGGTCTCTATTAATATTATAGAGTAAATTTACTATTTCCTGATATTTTTAGTATAACTGATTTATATATAAGAATTACATGAATATAATTTATTTTACAGGTATTGAAAACTTGGACTCTGGTGTTGGTATCTATGCCCCTGATGCCGAGGCCTACTCAGTGTTTGCTGACCTGTTTGACCCCATCATCGAGGACTACCACAATGGCTTCAAGAAGTCTGACAAGCACCCCGCCAAGAACTGGGGTGATGTAGAGACCCTCGGTGACTTAGACCCCAACAATGAATTTGTTGTTTCCACCCGTGTCCGCTGTGGACGCTCCCTGGAAGGATACCCCTTCAACCCCTGTCTAACAGAGGCCCAATACAAGGAGATGGAGGAGAAAGTATCCTCCACCCTCTCGGGTCTTGAAGGTGAACTCAAGGGCACCTTCTTCCCACTCACGGGCATGTCCAAGGAGACCCAGCAGCAGCTGATCGACGACCACTTCCTGTTCAAGGAGGGCGACCGTTTCCTCCAAGCGGCCAACGCCTGCCGCTTCTGGCCGACCGGTCGCGGCATCTACCACAACGAGAACAAGACCTTCCTCGTGTGGTGCAACGAAGAGGACCACCTCCGGATCATCTCTATGCAGATGGGCGGTGACTTGAAGCAGGTGTACAAGAGGCTGGTGAATGCTGTCAACGACATCGAGAAGCGCATCCCATTCTCGCACCACGACCGGCTCGGCTTCCTGACCTTCTGCCCGACCAACCTCGGTACCACGGTGCGCGCGTCCGTGCACATCAAGCTGCCCAAGCTGGCGGCAGACAAGGCCAAGCTGGAGGAGGTGGCGTCCAAGTACCACCTGCAGGTGCGCGGCACCCGCGGCGAGCACACGGAGGCCGAGGGCGGCGTGTACGACATCTCAAACAAGAGGCGCATGGGGCTCACCGAGTACGAGGCCGTCAAGGAGATGTACGACGGCATCGCTGAACTGATCAAAATCGAGAAGTCCCTGTAAATGTCGATCTCGAGTTAACAGTATTTGTTTTTTTTTTTTCTCGTGTATTATTTATCGTTCTCAAGTAAGTATTGTATGTTGGCTGGAGACGGAGTTGGGCGCGCAGGCGGCCCTCTATACTGTTTTTTCGTAAAAGTATTTTCTATAAGGAAATGACAAAATAAAGACAGCTAGAGTTAAGACCACTTGGTTGATTTATTTACTCATCACAGACCCTGATAGTTCAAAATTTATAAGTATTTGCTGAAATTAATATGGTGTCATGAAAACATATTATTGAATAAACATTACATTTTAATATAACACTGATACCAATTTTTTCATTGAATATTTCAGTTGTATAAAGAATGAAATTTCTCAACCAAGATGATGCATAGATTCAACTGTAGATACATTCAATGTATGATTTATTAAACTTAAAAGAATTGTAATTTCTAACATCAGTAAGTTTTAAGAAACTTAGTTATGGGACTTGATTGAAATAAAATATTTTTCATAGCAACAGATAACTTTATCTTTAATAGTTTTTCTAAAAATTAAAGATCATTCTACGACCGACCCCTATGCAAAATCCTTTAAAAAATTCTTAACAATTATATTTAAATTATCATGAATTCAGAGGAATTATAATTAAAAAGTTATGATAATAAAACAGAGATTCCTGATTTAAACCATAGGTAAAGTATCTGTTCAAATATTTGAGCAAATTCACAAAAAGAAGCACGATTTGACAGTAATATGTTGGCAATTATATCCACGTCTTATTACTACCTAGCGATTATATCTTCATTGTTGTAACTAATATGAAAATATGAACCAGAATAAATAATATAATAAAATAAACGATAAGACAGTGTCATTTTGATTCTATTTCTTGATATCTTACTGAAGATTGATTTAGAAATTAAATTACTTTTTAATCCCGGGAGGAACAACGAGGGTGTTACAAGATTGACGTCAATATCTCTGTGTGTATCTCTATGGTATTGTTTCACTCAGAAATATTACCGATTTCAAAGGTTTTTTTAAAGGAAATCCCCTTTCCTTAAGGATTTTTAATTGTCCGTTTTATATTGGTACAGCAATGTATGTAATAGTTTCAGGTCTATTCCAAAAATAATTTAAGGTATTTTGGGCGTAAAATGCTTTGATAAATTGCATCAAGCGTGCCAGTATAATTATTAAGTGACACTTAATACGTGGTTTTATTTTATTTTTTTATTTACTGTTACATATTTATCATATACTGCTGTTTAGACTTCACTTACTCTTAGTTATAGGTGCTTTTCTTCAAATAACTGTACCATGAAATTATCCTTAAATTAGCATTCGGAAAGAAACAACTACAAAATATCTTAAATCTTTTGCCAGTTAGAAAGTTGTTCATAAAAAAAAACAAATTATTCCTTCTGCTGGCTTCAGTGGGAAGAACAAAATTCATGATAAATATTAAAGCACGTTGTTACGACCAGTATCTTCGCCCGTTATCAGATTACTTCATAGTAATGTTACCTTATCAAGTTTCAGCAACGTCTGTCAAGTAATGCGAGTACAAGCTTTGATAATATAAAAATTCCAAAATAAAAAAACCGTTTCATTCCTTTTGGCCAGAAAGAATAATAATTATTAAAACTATACTAAAGTGTATTTCTTCGCGTGTAAAGTGTAAACAGGTAAAATATATTGTGTCAACTTTATTTAATTTTTTTTCATGCTAGAAATGCTTCTCATGAATTTTGAGTTGGTAGAGCCTAGTTGTGATCAAGTTACTGCAGCTCGAACATGGGCTGGTTCGACCGGGAAAATACCACCTTCTCACTGAAGAACGGCGCTTAGTAGTCTTTAATGGCTGCGTTTCGTCCGATGATTGGGAGAGCTGGTTGCCCTTTCCCACCGTAACCTGCCCTTTCCCTTTTCCCTACATTTCCCACCTTTTCCCTTCTTCCCCAATCAAAGGTGGCAACATATCCGAAAATCCATGTTGTGGATGTCTATGGGCGACGGTACTAACTCCATCAGGTAGGCCGTCTACTCTGATGCTCCCTTTAGCATAAAAAAATGTAGTTATCAATAAATAATAGACATTGTCAAAAATACGAATATAAACAAACCTGCAGTGATTGAAGCCACTAACTAAAGAAGAAGAACCAGTGATTGAAGTATTTCTAATAATAAGGTGGTCATCATTATTAAGACTAATCGTTACTAAAAAACAGTCAAAATTTTGACTAATCTGAAACACGCCTGGTTTACTTATTGCTACAATAAATTTGCTTATAGAAAAATTGTGACAAATAGGTTTAATTTTCAATAACATTATGTGTACAATTCTGTTACCAATGAAATAATATTATTTACAGTTTAGTTTATATAGGTAGTACGAAACTATAAATCTCAGACAGATTTAAGTTGTAAGGTTCACAGACTGATGTGTTATGTTTGATTACCATGTCGTCCAACAATAAAAAACTTTAGTTATCATTTGTATCATCAATTTATTATTTAAAACAGGGCTGTCCAAGCCATGGCCCGCGGGCCGCGTGCGGCCCCCGGTTCGGATTATTGCGGCCCGCAGGACCTTTTTTATATATTCTTTGTTTTAAAACATCAATGAGCAAATTATTTTTATCGCGATGAAATTCAAATTTTTTAAAGGGTATGTTCGATAACGTCGCACACATCATTTTTTTGGACAACCTCAAATACATAGACGGAATAATCGTCGAATTCGAGCGACGTTTTGCAGATTTTCAAAAAATTTTGAGTTATATAGCACTCTTCACTAATCCATTAACGATTGCAGTTGAGAGTATGAAGATTGATTATTATCAACTAGAACTGTGTGATCTGCAATAAGACCCCTTTTAAAGGTCAGAACAGAAACAGGGATATATTTTTTTAAGCTCCTCGCTGAACGTTTCCCAAAACTGGCGAATTTCGGGCAAAAAATGGGCTCGATGATGGGCAGTACCTACCTTTGTGAGAGTGCATATTCAACAATGAAGCTAATCAAATCGAAATACAGGTCTTTAATGACAGATACTTTACTTAAACATGCACTGCGCCTAGCTACTACTAATACTGGGTGGCGCAAAAGTAAAGACCCTATTTGGTTCAGCTATAACATTTTTTCTAAATGAGAAAACTAGATTTAGGTTTTTTTAAATGTATATTTGTACCATTAAATTTCGTACCATTAGGATTTAAAGATGATGTCTTTTAAATGGTGACCTCCAGAGTTGATACACATTTGAGCCCTATTTATGACATTTTGCATAACTTGCCGTAACACTTCCTGCGATATGTTCGTTATTTCTTGACGAATGTTTTCTTTTAGAGCTGCGAGAGTCTGTGGCTTGTTCACATACACCCGAGATTTCAAAAAACCCCAAAGAAAGAAGTCTGGACTGGTCAAATCGGGTGATCTTGCAGGCAAATCGCCAAAACGAGAGATAACTCGGCCTGGAAAAGCGTCCCTCACTAAGTCCATAGTATCGCGCGCTGTGTGTGCCGTAGCGCCGTCTTGTTGAAACCAGATGTGCTCCAGCCCCAATTCGTCCAAACTGGGTATCAAAAACTCACGTAACATGGTTCTGTAGCGTTTTCCAGTGACAGTTATCGCATTGCCTCCAGCGTCTTCGAAAAAATAGGGTCCGATCACTCTGTCAACACAGATGCCACACCATACAGTAACTTTTAGTGGGTGTAGAGCCACTCGGGTGTATGTGAACAAGCCACAGACTCTCGCAGCTCTAAAAGAAAACATTCGTCAAGAAATAACGAACATATCGCAGGAAGTGTTACGGCAAGTTATGCAAAATGTCATAAATAGGGCTCAAATGTGTATCAACTCTGGAGGTCACCATTTAAAAGACATCATCTTTAAATCCTAATGGTACGAAATTTAATGGCACAAATATACATTTAAAAAAACCTAAATCTAGTTTTCTCATTTAGAAAAAATGTTATAGCTGAACCAAATAGGGTCTTTACTTTTGCGCCACCCAGTATTGAGGTTGATATTGACAAAATTATAAAAGACAAATTAATGGAAAAGTAGTTAATAAAATTACGATATTATTATTACGAGCATTTTATTTTTATAAATATTTTGCAGCCCACCAATGTATTTAATCAATTTTATTGGCCCTCGGTCCCACTTAGTTTGGACACCCCTGATTTAAAACATATTTATAAAATAATAATAGTAAATAAAAGTAGTTGCGTCGCATTTCACCGGTAGGCCAGTGCAGATGCCTCTAAAAATGATGAAAAGTGAAAATAAATTATAGTAGAATGAAACCCATTAGAAAAGGAGGGGAATATTTTAAAAATTAAGGGAAAAATAATTTACGGGCGATCTGAGGTTGGGAAGAGTACGGGCGTGGGTTTTTAAGGGTACAAAATGGGTTTTCTCGATTTCCGGAAAAATTAAGAGTCCTAATGAAAAATGTTATATGGCAAAGTTGTAGGTAATAAAAAGATCAAAAAATTTTGTATTTACACTTTTTTCATATAACCTGAAAATTTATATGATACATTCGAAAAAACAAGTTTTTGGTTTTTTATTTTTATCTCTTACAAAAATCAATTTTTTGTCACGAAAATTGGTGAAAACTTTCCCTTTGATATTACAAATGCAATGTAATTTATTTATTTAGATATATTTATTTTTTCAGCTTATTGTGAATAAATACCGAAAAATCAACCTCATTTTCAATCGAAAAATCACCCGTCAAAATATCAGCGTTTTTCAAAAATTTGGTGTGTTTTCTATTCGTTGAATTCTCTATTTTCCGATGGTGAAGAAATAAATATAAGTTTCTTACTTACAGTACCATTTTTGGATAAAATAATCATGTCTCTTTTAATGAAATGACACTCGACATCGGTTTGAAAATGCTCTTTCTAATTTATTTTTAATAGTTGTGTACTCTGGAAGCTCTCCAGATAGTCCCTCTTTTAGGTAATTTACAGAAAATTGACATTAAGCTGCTAAAATTTCGTGACAAAAAATTGTTTTTTGTAAGAGATAAAAATAAAAAACCAAAAACTTGGTTATTCAAATTTATCACATAAATTTTCAGGTTATCTGAAAAAAGTGTAAATACAAAAGTTTTAGATCTTTTTATTACCTGCAACTTTGCTATATAACATTTTTCCCTAGAACTTTTAGTTTTGCCGGAAATAGAGAAAACCCACTTTTGGCCCTAAAATACCCATCCCCATACCCTTCCCGATCTCAGATCGCCCGTAAATTATTTTTCCTTTCAATTTTATAATATTCCCCTCCTTTTCGAGTGAGTTTCATTCTACTATAATTTAATTATGTTTTAAAAGCTATACGGCACTGGTCTACGGAGCGAATTTTCAAATTTAAAACATTCAGCAAAAAATACGCTACGTTCAAAAACATTGTCCTTTCGGGTAAGATAAGTTTTTTATTGAATTAAATAATTAAATTAGGGATTAATGGAAAATAATACAAGCAGGTCATGACCAAAATTTATTATGTCACTTAAAAAGAAGTGGGAGATAATTTTATTGAATTAATAAGTGTACATTCATTTATGATATTTTCACATTTTTTAATTTATATAAAAATTTTAATAATTTTATGTATTAAAAAAATGAATAACATATAAAATAAAAGAAAAATAGTTTGGTTTATTTCGTAAGTTTATGAAACAAATTTAATTATATCTCTGCGGCGACTTCAGAACGTTACACAGACTTGACAAATGACATTTCTTGCAATATTTTTAAACACTTTCGTAGTTCATGCCGGTTATGGTATAATTTATATGAAACATTCTATAATAAAAGACAATATTTTTGATTAAAACAAATTAAACCAAATATATAAAATCTTATTTAATTCAACTTACGACTATAATCTATCAAATGGCGACACCCAAAGCGGAAAAAGATTTGCATTTGCCTCTGTCGAGAGTAAAAACTATTATGAAAAGTTCTCCCGAAGTGGATGCGGTTGGACCGGAACCTCTTTACTTAGTCACAAAAGTAACAGTAAGTAGAAATTGCAGTTAAAAAGTACAACAACATTCTAGCACTCAATAATAAAAACCATTTATTTTTATAGGAATTATTTGTAACAGATTTAGCAAAGAGAGCATATAAAAACAGCGAAAAAAATTTTCTGGAATACAAACACATAGCTGAAGTAGTCCAACAAGATGATACTCTGGATTTTTTAAGAGAAATAATGCCTCGAAAGATCACAGTGCGTCAGTTTAAAGAGATGATGGCCAAAAAAGCTGCAAAAGCAAATGACTCGGACGAGACGAGTGAAGAATCTAGTGAGGAGGAAAGTAGCGATGAGAGCTCTAGCGGTAACAGCAATAGTAATCAAGAAAACAAAAGTTAAATTAAATGTTTGGTTAAATATTAAGTTGAAGGAATGAACTGTTCAATGTTTATGGGTGATAAGTCGTAATTGTGATATATGATGCCGTTTAATAAACGCTGGAATAATGCTCTGACTATATTGTTTTCTTTTTACTGGGGATTATATCTAATAAAAAATATGATTTATTCTAATCAACATATTTCCCAACATGAATATAATAATTATAGGAAAGTTAACCTAAATAATGATATAATAAAATCATGATTTGAAAAACAGATAGTATAAAATGTATTGATTAAGTATATTATTGTTTTATTCAACTATTGCTTGGGAACTTATATTTTTATAATTTATTTGCAGCAGCTGTAACTGTGTCACCATGAAAAATTATTTTTTATTATTTCTAGTAGTGAAAATAAATATGATTCCCATAATAAAAGTCTTACAAATTATTCCCTATTATGGCAAACATTTGTCTTTGTAGGACCCATTAAATAGTAAGACAAATTTAAAAATTATACTTTGGAATACATCTTATACTAATTCACATGTATAAAATATATAGTTATTTTTATAATACAAATAGACGTATCAATTTTCAATTTAATTATCTTAATTGAAATCAATTTATTGTTCGGCTACAATTTTTGTGGAAAGTAGTAATATTTAAGATTTTTATTCCTGATTATATTAATAGCAGGAGTATTAAAATTAAATGGGTTGCAATATATCTGAGTTACTCAAAACGGACCTGTGTTTTATTCATGCTTTGACTTTTAAATACGTCACTATTTCATTAAGCGAAATTAAATACTATTAACCCAGATAAGCCTACTGTCCTATATTTAGGACAGTAGAAATTAAAAAAAATATCAGAATATCCTCTGTATATAAGATTATTTAGTCTTATGATTTGCAGTAAGAAACGTGTCAGCTTTATTAGAAAAAATAAAAAGACAGTTATTTTAACAGTTTTTACCCTATATTTTACCTTATAAGTGTGTAATAAAAGTGCGTTGCAGACATGGCAAATGACAGGTATGTATAAAAAGTTATATTTTACTCGTGAGTTGTTTTTTTCTGTTTTAATATCTAGTTGATAACCTTAACTTTTGTACTAAATAAATATTCTAGAAAAATAATATAAATAAATCACGTATAACTTGTTACAAATACTAGCGTACTATATATAGGACAGTAGGATAATATACATGATTTTAGTACAATAATACAACTTTTTCTTTACAGACCGTTAGCTGCGCATGAAATTTAAGATGCTTTAGAAAATGTTTCTGATAATGAAGAAGATTATAGAGAACGACTGATATGTATTCTACTCCTCCTGTTGATCCTGACTGTCTCACTGACGAAGATTCGGGTGAAGAAGATAATGTAACTTTGAATAATTTGCCACGAAACATTCTGCTTCAACCGGCTGAAGTAACGATTCAAGGGCAGATTATGGTGAGTGATACAGAAGAAGAACCTTCTGATTCTACGGGACTTAGCAAAAAATCCCGTGAATTGGCCAGATGTTCAAGGCGCTTGCCAAGATAAGCGCCCAATTGAGTGGTTTGAAAACTTCTCAGATGAAGATATTGTTTCGTTGTTGGTGTCAGAGGGCAATAAATATGCTGTCAAAAAGAATTTGCCTGGAGACATAACCACTGAAGATATGAAATGTTTCATCGGCATATTGTTGGGTAGTGGTTATTCATGGCTCCCCCGTAGAAGAATGTATTGGGAAAACTCCCCTGATACAAAGAATGAATTGATCAGCTCGACTATGACTAGGGATAGATTTGACTTTATTTTTCGCCACCTTCATGTCAATGATAATCTGGATTTGCAAGACAAATACACAAAAGTACGCCCCCTAGTTACACTTCTAAATAAAAAGTTCTTAGAGTTTTCTCCTCTTGAAGAGCATTGCAGTGTAGATGAGGTCATGATCCCCTACTATGGTAGATATGGCTGCAAACAGCACATAAAAGGTAAACCTTCCTCCCATCATGAACATGCTGATAGTAGTAAAGACCAAATGAATCATCTGGTCATTCCTCAATCGAAGCAAACACGCTGTCGTCAATGTCATAAAAAATGTTTGACACGTTGCAAGAAATGTGATTTTGGAGTGTGTGTCAAGTGTTTTGAAACATATCATTCATAAATAGTGTTAATCTGGTAAATTACATATAACAATGGGTAATATAATCAATAGTTATCTAATAAAGTACACTTTTTGATTACATTCTGTTTTGTCATAAATGGTCTTTTATTTCCTCTTATTATCCTACTGTCCTACATATAGGACGGCTGTTTCCCTGAAAGCCTTACACTTAATTTTTTTTTCATAATTTTTTTTATGTTGCATAAGATCTAATAAACTAAATAATGTAACTTTTTTCAAAATTTTCAGAAAATTTTAGTTTCAGGCTTATCTGGGTTAAAACAGGAAGATTTAAATCTCATACATTTTTAAATTTATAGACGGTTGCGCCATCTACACTCGGTGGCTTACTATCAAAATGTACACAACATACGGTAGATGGCGGTGCTTACAGCTACCTACGTAACAATTTTTGAATGCCTTAATATTCTACAGAAAATGTGTCATGTGCGTTTCTGATTTATTTTATAAATGAATTATATTATTAATAAAATACTAAATTGATAATTAAAAACCATTAATTCATCTTGAACAATATTAAAAGAATACATATTATATAAATAGATAAAAGAACTTCCATAGGCTCCACCTATTGGATTTTAAGGAGACAATATAGGTAAAGCATATCACATATATGTATATTATAATAAATAATATGTAGTCCTGTAGGATAATTATTTTAGTGTCAATGTGCTTCTTTAATAACACTTTATTTATTGTAATACTTAAATATAATTTTTCATCATCGTCCTTACATAAGTCGTATTATGTAAACGTATGTGTTAAATAAGGGAAATGCCGCTAGATGTCGCTACAGATGCGGAAAACTTAGTTTTATTCTTAATATACATTTTTTTTTTTTTTTGTTATCGCGGTGAAAGGTTTTATACCTACCCCTCCGTCTAGGGGAGACAGAGGCGGTTATGTGGGATTCACGGCCAGAAGGGCCCATGTTACCCACTAAAACACCAGCGGTCACTCTCCGTTGCCGCCAAGTAGATCGCCACGGGAAACGCCGAAGCATGCATCCGCAACGATCCGGCGGCGGGCCGCGAACGGCCACCTCCCCCCCCGAGGGCTCACTCCAAGTGACCAGGAGTGTCCCCCCGCCTGGCGAGCTTGCTTAATCGCGAGAGGGTTAACCCCTTACCCCTCCCACCCAAGCCCACGCGGCCAGTCTCCAACCACCCACCGACGAGCGCAAGCGCCCGACGGCAGACAGAGAGGAAACCGACCGACCACAAGCGAACTCAGGCCTCCGGAGAGACCCGAGTATCCCCTCCCCCCCAAGACAGCCACGGACGGCCTCCTGCCAGATCCGTGACCGTCTTACTCCCAGGGCTGTACCCCCAGCCCTCCCCCCCCGTGACTGATTGCACCGGAATACACCAGTGGGCGATGGGGTCGTCACGTCCCGACGCCGGAATTCTTAATATACATAATTTGTTTTTGTTTATACATATATAGTTGTGTAATATCCGTCTCAATGAAGTTTTATACTATATTAGAAATTATATTTTGGATATATATTAAAAGTTAACCCACTCACATCATGAAAGTACCTATACTTATGCAAATTATAAGACTAAATAGCTTTTTCTGATGTTTTAACTGGCTAAATTCAGGAACTATTAATCAGATTTGTCATATTTTATCAGAGTTAAATAGATCGTTTATCTAAAGGTAATCGTTTATATACTAGCTGCTATCTTAATGTAAAACATCTTATAAATATCCTCAATCTCATTGTTAGTGTTCATATGAACTAAGTCGAGATCAAATCTAGTATGACATAAGATAATATGTAGTGTATGTAACATGAATCTTTTATAAACCAACATCGGAGTGTACATGGTCATTAACGCCTTTTATTTGCCTTTTATATGTACATGGTCATTAAAGCAATTTATCTACAATATATTAGTACCTATTTGTATTACGCAGAAGGTTTAAATTTGTTACAAATTATTTTTTTATAACCTCAACTTGTGCTAACTATAAATTATATTTTAACCAAAGTTCTTCCCACTAAACTTGACCCAGATTTTTTGTTTGTATTGTCTACAAATCGGATATAACTTCTTAATAAAATATGACATAATATTGAGAGACGTAGGATCAAAAAATATTGATACAAACACATTCACCTTGTTAGAATTTTAGCGATGAAGGATTTGGTATTAAATAAATTAATTAACCAAAATCATTAAAACGTCATCAAAAATAGTTTTTACTGTTCTTTTTTTAAATTTCATAGAAGATTCTCAGTTTAAATTAGGTACTAAAACCTTTTTAGACATAATTGTAATAAAAAAAGTTTTGATTTGATTCAAATCCAGCACGGTCTTTAAACAAAGAAGTTATATTGATTGTTCAGTATGGAAAACTAATATTTGATAAACAACATTCATAGAAACAATATAACTAAGTGCAGCTTAATGTAATTATTTATTTAAAAAGTATTTTTAACACAACAAACATATATTTTACGTATTTTAATAAAGTGATGTATATCTTGAAGGTTGTCGGTTAACCGCGCGCTTGTGTTTTGTAAATTGTAACCTTACTTGGCCCTTTGTACATTACACGCATTTTTGTTTTATATTTCAAATAGGCTAATAAAATTATTAATTAATTGAAGTACCGTGTAGATAATCGACCCATAAAATTAAAACACAATTAAATAGAAAAATATTTGAATGAGGAAAAATCATGCGAATGAAATTTTCAAAACTTTATTATGTTAATATTTTTTATAGGTATTTAGGGTTTTTTAAGTTGTGATGTATATTTTTTCGGTGGTAGAGCCTAGCTGTGGTAAAGTAACCACAGCTTAAACATGGGCTTG